AGTAGAGTAAAATTTGAACAAACACTAGCTGAAATTGAGGATACACGGTGGGCAGCGAAAGTGTACAAGTATCTATGCATGAAAAGTTTAAACACTAAGTGGACAAACCGAACCCGCAAGCTGAGATTTAAATACATTCAACGAGATGGAGGCGACAGTGCATATCAGTAGAAAAGGGAGTAAAGGAAACTGAGAGAAAATTGTGGGAATAGAGAATGCAGGAGATATCAGCTTTAACAATATACAGGGTACAAAAACAAGAAATAAAGAAGGAACAGCTGTATGATTATTCAGTGGGGAGCTCTTTGCTGTTTGAAGCGAGAACGGGAGTGCTAAGAACGAAAAATGTATAGGGCTGAAGTAGAAATTCTGCGCGACGTATGAAACCGCGAAAGGGAAACTATATAGATCATGTAATTTTAAGGTGCACGGAGCTCCGTCCCACCCTCTGGTGGGGGGGGGGGGGGAGGATGACTACGGTTTTGGAGGGGCACTGGGTTTTCCGGACATGGATGGACGAATGGATGGGAAAAGAATTGCGGTAACTAAGAGGAGATTGAAAGATTGGTGGAAAAGATCTAATGAAAAAAATAAATACATAAAAATAAATACAGATAAAAATATGCAATGGAATCACTTTAAAAATAGGGAAGGGAGAAATCTGTTATAACATAATTCATACAAGTTAAAGAAAAAAAGGATTACGAAATGTTAGGCTAGGCGGCGCAAGCTGCCACCCGTTACAAAGGGTATAGTTATTACCATCCATCCATCCATCCATGCTCACGAAGCGAGTGATTGGATCCGAGTCCTTGCCGAACCCTGACGCAGCGCTCGTGTCCAATAATTGCTCAGAGGAACGTTACTATATTACCTCGGTTATGGAACTCTGTGGGGGGGGGGGGGGGGGGGGGGGCACGGCACCTCCCTTACTCACTTCAGTCCACCTCCCGTCGTTTGAAGCACCATCTAGATTTTCTTTACATAACTCCGTGTTCTATAGGGCAGACCCTGAACGCCACGTAGACGCTCTGTTTTGAAACGTATGTATTCCGTAGTATACACTGCAGCTATCATAGCAGCCGTCGGGCGCGCCGAGCGACGGGAGACGACTCGTGGTAAGGGGGGGGGGGGGGGGGGGAACTGTTCGTGAAAGGAGCGTCTTGTAGCAGTTCCCTAACTGAGCCAATCTCATAACGTTGGCTCAGAGTACGCGATCAAGCAATGGCGGATAGTCGATTGCGCACAGTTTTGCAAGGGGTCTACCGAACGCGGAAGGTACAGCTAGAGTCAACGAATGTTTTCAGAGTACGGAAACTCCCAGGTTTCGCTTCAGAACCGATTCGCGGCGCGGCCGTGGCGATACTCATAATAGCGCTGCCCTGTGCGGTCGAAGCGAAGCGCTTACACTGTAGCGATCGTTCTCGTGTGAGCTCTTCAGACCACGTTTCTGGCCTGTGGCGACACTGGTTTGCTTTTATTAAAGTTCTTTCCTTCCTTCCGAGCGGTGCGTGACTTGCTCCTCGCTGTCTCGTCTCTCTCTCACCTCGAAACACATCGAAGCCGAGTGTTAGGCTTAGCGTTCGAGGCGTAGAGTCTGAAACGCATCACCAGCGCAACCGGAGCGAGCGAACGAGCCGGCAATCTTCTTTGGCAAACCAAATTAGCGGCTTCTTAATAAAAAAGAAAAAAAAATCTAGAAACAATGAACGCACCTTTCGTTCGGTCCTAACCATTTGATGTCCAGACCCGTGCGTACCCGCCGTAGATGTGGATAGCGCAGAAACATTGTATATATCTTTTGTTGTTTTGGGCCGATCCACAAAATCGTCGACTGATAACTTCAGCCACAGGCCAGTCAGAACTGGATTCTGCTGGATTGATTTCCGGTAAGCGGACTGAATGAAATTCGGTACTCTGAGCACATTTAGTGACTCTGTAGGTACGTTGTAACAGTAGTATTTTAGTTTCTGTGTCTCTTAGCCTTTGACTTAAAGCGTTAGCGTGTCTTTTAGCCTTTGACTGCGCTCCAACTCAAGTTTAGACGAGGTATAGGAAGGCCGCTACGGTCAAAACGCAGATGCAAACGAGGAAGGCAATCAAAAGATAGTGTGCGAACGAGAAAAGAAGGGTGAAGATATCACTATCTTTCTCATTCAATGGCCTAGCCACTCTTTTTGTGACAGCCATATTTTTTTTTTTTTTTTTCTATTTTGGCACGATAAGAAATTCACTGCCGCACAACGCAACCATAGAGTTCCGGGAAAGCATCCGACCACATCGTCGTTGGTTGATTGCAAGAGAAGGTCACCTCTCGGCCTATTTACACAAATGGACCCTTTTGAAAAGTGCGCGACATTGCAAGTCCGGCATCGCCTGGGCGCGTGCTCTGAGCATGTATTGGACACGAAGGTTTGCTCCAGCGTTCGGCGTCAAATCGGCTCCGCTCGTATCAGACACGACCGTTGCGTCGGCGTTCGGCGAGGACGTGGTGAACGCCAATGTTGCTCGATGTACTTTTTCAAAGGGTCTACGGAGGCGGTTCATGCGTTATTGCCACGACGTGGCGCAGCTTTTATTTGGAAACTATAGTGCTGAAGTCCCGTTGAAAATTCGTTTCATTTATCGTTATGATTTTGTTTTCCCACTTGCTCAGAATCCAGAGGGTGCATGTTGAGCTTCGTGTTGGATGGATGTTTCTATTTGCCCGTTGCAAAAATCTACTCGTCCTTAAATATGCCTCTTTTAAAATTCCGTTTCTGTCATCTGATATCCTTAGAATATATTTCACTCTTCTTGAGATAAGTCATATCGAAATCACACGGGAAACAAAAACGAAAGCCTTTTTTTTTTAGTTTGTTGTTTAGCATAAGCCGACTGAGTGTGCAGATTTTACTTCAGAAAAAAAGATAACAGAGCAATAACAAATTTATTCCTCTGCTATTCATAAAAGTTACTAAACATAGGGCAGTCTTAAGGTACTAATAGTTACTCTCAAATTTGGAAATTGCTGAAATATTTTAGATCAACTAAATCTTCGCGGCTAAATAGTGTACGTTTTTTGCATTGTTTTGTTTTTAATCCACGAACTTAGCAGTGCGTTTTATTTTTGTGTAGTAAGACACTGATCTTTATATTGCTGGATGTACACTTTTGTGCATATGTCAGCCCTACAATTTTATCTACAAGGCTTTTTTTAATGTTTGGTACATAAAACGAGTTTTACGCGGACCTACTGCTCACAACTTAGGCGTCATGTTACGCACTGAGAGATGGCAAGTAATTCTCTTATCATAGCTTTCACTTGATCAAACACATTGATTCAAACTTGTCAGCAAAAAGTCATATAGCTGTCGCAGTTGATTCTAAAGAATTCATACCAAAAAGGTGGTACCACTCATAGCCTGTTAAGTAATATACATGATAGATCACCCCTAACACTTACAATCCGAGATACGAATGGGAATTCGAAGTCGGTCTTCGTATTATTTTCATTTTTTTTTGTGACGCAATTAAAAAATATCATTTGTTTTTGGTGGGACCTTAATTTTTTGTACGTTCGAATCAGGCCAACGCAATTTGTGTTCTTTATCAGTGTACCTGCATCGTCACTATGGTGCCCTGCAACGCGTCTCTGAGTGGTGAGTTAACAGCACCAAAAGCGTGTTCCCACGATTCCCGCCTAATGACGTCACGGAAGTGTCATTCTGTCGACGGCCTTGATCCTGGCGGTGTCCCAGCAGCGGTGGTGGATGTGGCAGGCGCCTGTTCTGTTGCAGGTCGCTCTCCAGCTTGGCAGCCCACGGAACCTAAGAATAACCACGAGTTTGGACGCCGCTATGATTGCGACACTCGCGTTCGCTCGATCTTTTTGCCAGCAATTCTGCGACCAATCGCCAGGATCGCGACATCCGACAGCACGACACTCCGGCTTTTGTGAAGTCACTTTGTGCCACTTAAGAGCCCCTATTGACGTATGGGTTGGATAGAACACTGAGCACAGCAGTCGGACGAGCATTGTCATGGCAACAAATCTTCACGTGTCAATGAGCGTTATCAGGCTATGCGGAGCGCAAGTTTTTCTGCTCTTTGCACGAGGGTCGCGACGATGTCAGAACGCCGAGCACTTATTGGTTGATTGAAGACGAAGTGGGTAGGCCTCGAGGCACCTATCATTGAGGTCCACCCACTATCCTTTCAAACAAAGGATCGTTCAGACGTCACCGCTACTCGTGTGCAAGAAGCAGACGACTTGCTCTCCTGATAGTCTCTCCTCACGATTTGTCCTTACGCGATTATATTGGCCAATAATATGATGCCCGTGACACGACACTCTCGGCGCTTCTTAAACTGTTGCTGACAATAACTTTAATTTCGTTTTGGGTGCATTGAAAAGACATTCTCTGCAATTCACTTCAAGTGCGACTGCAGTCGATGTGACCATCTGATGGAGACAATCAAAATCAAGCAGCGCCAAAAGTGCATGCAAGGTCAAGGCGCTCGTCGTCTTTGTACTTTCGCCATGAAAGGGACTCAACCAATCACGCGCGGTGAAGGTGATAATGTACTGGACCTTATTTTTCTTCTTTTTTCGCTCGATTGGTTTTAGCCGGTGATATCAGACCCTCAAAGACGACGATTGCCATGAAGATGCACTTTTGGCGCGTTTTATAATTCGGCCTATGGGATTTTTGCCTCGGCTGCGCTCCGACTTGAGGTAAAATGGAGTATAGTGCCGTAACATTGTCTACTTATCTACTGCCGTTGCAATCTGTACCCCATTATGCCACAGTGGGCAAACACGGTCCCCGTTTCTTGTGCTAGTTCGGTCTTCGGTACTCATTCTAATCAATAAATGAACAAATGTAGCGTGCGTTAGTCCCTAGCACATCTTTACTTTTATCGTGTCTCTCCGGAAAACTTACCACTGGGAAGTCGTATTGGAGAAAACTATGGTTTCGAGATGAAAGGTTGTGACTTTTTTTGTTGCGTACTTCCAGGCTTCGTCAAAAGGTCTGGACGCCTGGAAGTACGGATTTGTTTTTTCAGCGATGAAGCTTTCTATGTTCCTTGGATCTCTCTTCGGGGACAAATTTGTGAGTAATTTCACGCCCGCACTTACAGGTACAATTAATGCTTTGGCAAACCTCCTCTTGTAATTGTATACAGGTCGCTGAACTTTTGGCATCGCTCGCAGTGCAAAGCAAATGTTATTTTACACGTGTCCACCCCAAACTTTGAGGTAGTTTTTGTCCGATAATTTTTTATAGCCCAGTTAACAAAAATAAATTTGCACTGCTCCAGTACAATATATGCACAGAGTGTCTGCCAAAAGTATGGCGGTCTCGGATATTTGGCGGAGAATGCTACAGACTGCTACGCGCTTCGATATATTATCTATATTTTGCAGTCTTATATCTTTCTTTTTCTGCCCTGAAATATATGTCTTAAGGGACTGTGTTTCAACCCTCTAAAGGACCAAAAGAAACTACCTACTTATAGTTTTACGTCCTCAACGAAACTTCAAGAGTATTCTCATCTATGTGGTGGAGTCCAACGGATTCCAGACATAAGGCAAGATTTAATTTGGAAAAAAGCTTGAATATTCATAAGCTTGCGATAATGTAAAAAGCACCATTTTTTTCGAATTTAATAATATATTTGACCCTCCGCATCACCAACAGTGCACAACGTCCGCCCATCGATTCTTGAAACTAAATTATCGTCTACTTGTCTTTCGTAAAATCGTATAACTATTGAATTCTCAGATGATTGGTCCGTTTCTGTGCATTTTCGTCTGGGTCAAAGATACCAATTATCATTTGAAAAAAAATAAACTACTTAAAAAATTTAGTTATGTACCTCTTTTTTTTTGGATTTTCTTGCCACTGATACTAAAGCTTCCATTCACGTCTAAAAAGTAGAATGAAGACAAATATTGCAAATAAAAATTTAATTAGTCATCTCACTATTTTTTTAGGATATTTGAAAGGGGAATGTTCCTAGAAAAAAAACTGAAGATAGGTTCTGGTATGTCGAGCAGTCATCATACTTATAAAGTTAATTTTCGGCGACATCTCTGTCCATATATGGTCTTGAGTTTTGGAATATCACGTTGAAAAATGTTTCTCTTCTACTTCAGATGGCTGCTACGTCTCCGGTAACTTGTTATCTGTTGGGTCAAGGCGGTTTTTTTCTGTTTACTATAGCATTTGGGTGAGTATATTGCGGTCACAGGAACAATTCTGCAGTTTTCAGTTGAGATATGTTCTATAAGCAGACGCCACCACTGCAATTATTTAACAGCAGTCGACGCCTGCGCGTCTAGTGTGGTTGATGTCTTTATTTCACTAGCTTACAGTGATCATGAGTGAGACTGAAAGGAAAACGAAAAAAAGTGTATTCATGTTTTGTGTTACTAAACAACAAGTTTTCATATTTAAGAGATTTACCGAAAAAAATCCAATATCACGTTCACCACCGAAACAAAAATTCGCACCGCCATGAAACCTCACTATTTGTTTGAATGTACCTCTTAGGGTTAAAATAAGACAGCAAATCTTCATACAATAGCTCTTTTTGATCCAAAGTCAAAAGTGTTTTTAACGAATTTTGAACGCGGACACGCATTAATTTTTTTCTGGAGGCAAACACCATTTGTATTTCATAACACGTGTTGCCAAGACCGGAAACACATATGAACTTATAAGGAATAACGTATCATTCATGTCTTCGTCATTTTCAGGTGTTTGTACTGGGCACCAGGCGGTAACGTTCTCCTTGGTCTATCCATTGCGTTGGTGACTATTGGAGGCTGTACAAACACATTGTACCTCGTCAGCATGTTCGCCGTCTTCACAACGCGCTTCCGGAACAACACAGGGTATATCGTGGTAAGTGCCACTGACATACCATGGCAGTTTTGGGGGCGTGCATGGTTAGAAACGAGGTCTACCGGAGGAAGGTTAAAAAAATTCTCACAGGGTGTATATCAAGTGGATATCGCAGTGGTTGAACCTTCGGGAGAAGGTAGGCCAAGCAAAGAAGGTTGGATGTAAAAGTTTGAAACAAATACGTTCCCCGAATAAACAAACTAGCTGCGATGATTTGAACACTTTGAGTCACGGGGATGCATTGATTATCGGCAGCACACGTAGGTCGGATATCTGATATCGCGGCTTGTAGACGACGGTTGCCTTGAGGAAACTACTGAAACTACTGTGTGGACGATATATTCAGTATGAAGGCATTAGTGTACAACATTCAGCGGCGAATGGAAACGTTTAACTAGGAAGTGGCAGAGCTTGGTTTCAAGCTCAGAGCAGCACTTTAGTAACCTTTGAAGTTCTAATAGCAGCTTTATTGTAACTTGTGGACAGTACAAGCTCAAAAGTTGGTCAAAAGTCACAAGCACTGGATGCGAGAATTGTTACTTCTAACTGGTGTCATATTTGTTCCCGGAAATATGCAGAAGCCCGTACAGAGCAACGCGAGATAGGGTGTCAAGCCTTAAGCTTCTATGGGGCGCCTGGAAATTAGGACCTCCCGGGTGGCCAAAGCTCGTCCAGATTTGAGACTCGGGAGGGGACCAACAAGACCATTTATGACGAACGCATTCGGCATGTAAACACTTGTCGTGGTGCCAAGAGGTTGGTAAAGTACATTAAACTTATCATGACACATACCTGCTGAGAGACACACCTAAACCAAACTCGAGCACGAGTACGGTTTCAGCCCCGTATATAAGCACCGACGGTTACGAATAGAAGGTAGAAACACGTTGCAGTGTACTACCATTTTCAACAGGAGAATAAAAAAAAGCACAAACAACCATAAAAACATTTGTTTTTTATTTTTTTGCCTGGCAATTTACTATAGTGCCACAAGACTACCCAATCAATAGTTGGCTACAGAGTCAAGTATATTTTTAATAAAAAAAACAAAAAAACACAACTGCTCGAAGCAGAAACCGAAACATGTGCGCAGGAGGCTCGGAGTTGTGAGTCGCAGGAAGTCACGTAACTATGCTCCCCAACTTTTTTTTTTTCGTTCCTCCGTTTTATGGGCGTGTGAAGCAAACGACAACAACCAGGACGTTGCTTGAACCGTTTGTCGTGCGATTGTTTCGCACTTGTATCCCACCCCCTCGTTGTTCTGTGCTTGATGATCGATTGGCCGGTACCACGAGCTACAGTTCCGAAGTAACGGTTCCACGTCCGTGGCAACGTTGGTCCGTCGTGCGCCACCATTGCGTCGTCCAGCCCGCGGTACGTTGACATATCGAGAATGGTGTGTACATCTGCATCCTGTGATCGGTGCAAACCTTTTTTTTTTCGTTCAACGTATTTGCAGGTTTGTTGAAGCCAGAAAAAATAGGGTCATGTTTGTTTTTTATTGTTGAAATTGTGTGTGCCTTAGACCCCACGACTTTATATATAGTTGGTGTGCATCAGTTCACGGCCCGTGACAGTGAAAAAGACAGTGAGCGCGCCTGAACTCGACCAACTCTCGACGGGCGGTTTTCGGGCGGAAATAATATGAATTTCGAGCCGATAATCGTGTTCTGGTAAGTTGTGCTCTCATAGGTATTGTTGCAATAAAAAAACATCAGCATGCATAAGTACCATGTCAGTGTCCCTTTAAGGACATCCAAGCAAAGTCGATGCTACACGTGCACGTGGCACACTACAACAACTTTCACGTGGAACTTCAGATCCATGAAAGCACTTTGAAAAGTGGCATGCTTTTCGAGGCACGACCGCGACCAGTGCATGGACACTGCTCTACAAAAACGGTTTGACAAACCTGACAATCAAAGCGTGCTCCGGGCGAGCGGTGTTCACACTTAGGTGGTGGCACATAATGTCCTGGGTTGTGCAAGGCTCATGCCGACACGGACTCAAACCGCCCGCTGCACTAGCCGAGTTCTCAAAGTCCACTGTAACAACACCGCAACGGCATTAAATGAATGAGACATCGCTGTGGGTAAAGAGAAACACCACCCTGCAAGAGATTTTCGGATTGTGTCCTCGAGCGTACCAGGCAAGCCCTTTAGATTCATAATAAAGTGACAACTGAATGAGTGGTGGAGAAAGACTCCCATCAGAGGATTAAGGCACGTTACTAAGATTGATTGTGGACCCCCGTTTTATCCCGTCACATATGAGAATATGGCTACATCACAATCATCGGTATGATTAGAGCTCTGGCGATGCACATAGGGCGGAACTACAGCCATAGTTCCTGACAGGGGGAGAGAGGGAGGCTCCTCGTCAAACGGCCGGCCTTCAGCACGCTTTCGTTGCCGTTCATGGTGCTCTGGCAGCGCGTGCACGCCCGAGGCTCATAGGACGGTGAAGCGTTTTCGAAGGTACGAAGCTGGCGCGGGCCGAAGGAGTAACGAAACTGGTCTTGCCGTTCTGAAGGCCGGTTCTCACATGCAGCGAAGCGCTGATGTAGCGCTACTCACGTGTCGTCAGCTACTTATCGTCTGCCGTGAGCAACAGTTTTGACGGTGCGATACAAAGCTGGTGAACCCTGCCGTCAGCACGCGCTTAGCGCGAGGTTAGCGCTATGCTCGTAGCGCTCCGCTGCATGTGTGAACAGGCCTTTATCCTATCAGAGGCTATAGTGCTATTAGGAGCTGCGGTGTCGTAAAGATACTTAGGGCTGCAACCGTTGGGGGACGCTGATCTTTCATAAAAACCTCTAAGCTATCACTTGATACCCCTTATCCAGGTAACGAATTTGCCAGAAACATGCGCATTTCGATTTCAATGTTCGAGGACAGATTCCTGTGAAGATTTCGCACTATGTTATGCGCGTTAAATTAGTACACTGCTAAAACTGTCTTGAACGTATCCTGGGAAAAATTAATACAACCGTCTAGGTCACACCCGCTGACAAACTGCGAGGTTTTTGGCGATTGATAAATGCCTTCGGGGAAGATAATCCTCACACTGGCAAATATCTTGGAACTAAATTTAAAAAAGAGGTGTGTTGAGCAAAAATCAGTATAATATATTTTACTAGAATAGAAAGTTGGGCGAGTTTGTGAGAATCCATTTGAAAAACAGCGCGAAAGACACACGGACAAGAAGGAGAGACACAGGACGAGGCGCTGACTATCAACTATATATTTAGAAGAAATAATCCTCACACTGGCAAATATCTTGGAACTAAATTTAAAAAGAGGTGTGTTGAGCAAAAATCAGAATAATATATTTTACTAGAATAGAAAGTTGGGCGAGTTTGTGAGAATCCATTTGAAAAACAGCGCGAAAGACACACGGACAAGAAGGAGAGACACAGGACGAGGCGCTGACTATCAACTATATATTTAGAAGAAATAATCCTCACACTGGCAAATATCTTGGAACTAAATTTAAAAAAGAGGTGTGTTGAGCAAAAATCAGAATAATATATTTTACTAGAATAGAAAGTTGGGCGAGTTTGTGAGAATCCATTTGAAAAACAGCGCGAAAGACACACGGACAAGAAGGAGAGACACAGGACGAGGCGCTGACTATCAACTATATATTTAGAAGAAACACGGAGAAATTCACGCGAGGACGACTTCGTCTTTTTCCTCTTTCACCAGTCATTCACAATTTTGCACGCAACATTGTAAATCATATCAAATTAAAACACACCAGTACACTAAATCACACCAACACAGGTAATCGCCTCGCGTCTCCTTCCTCCTTTCTTCTTTCTTCGATCTTCAATCTCAATCTTCAAGTCTCTGGTCAGCCCATGTCCAAAAAAAACCATCTCACTGTCCACTAGGTTAATGGATGGTTGGCTCACGCACCCGGGTTTTCGTTTTGCTATATGGTAAGCTTCTACTACCTCCCTCGATAGCTGGTCTTTGTGTTTAAACAGCATGTTTGTGTCGCTAAATCGTGGCTGACATCCACAATCCCGGCAGTGGACAGCTATATGGAAGTACGCGTTACCCTTTAATCAACTGTGGTGCTCGCGTAGGCGAATGTTGAGGCAACGTCCCGTCTGACCTATATAAGAGTGACCGCATGAGAAAGGTATTTCATAAACGGTCCCCCGTGCACAGGACACGAACTTCATGCCATGCTTTACGCGACATCCAAAAAGTTCTGGCTTGCTTTTCCTGCCAGCAAGCTTATTAACCGCGTTTATAATCCCGCTTAGTTTGTTACGCGCTGAAAAAATTACGTTGACCCCATACCTCGAACCGACTCCCTTTAACCCGTGTGAAAGACGATGGATATAGTAGAACAATAAGTGAAGTGTTAGAGACTTTCGCGGAGGAAGGGTTACGACTGTGTTTCACCTCCGAGACTCCTAAGGAGTACAAAATCCAATTTTTAAATATCCTTGTTGACGTGAAAGAAGATCATGTATGCTGGATCGACGAAGAAATTACTAGACTATCGTTCGGCACACTCAAAACTCGTAAAAAACGGTATGGCGTATTCTTGCTTACAGTCAGCATTAACAAAAACTTGTTTTTATAAGATGAAGGAAAGCTTCTCAGCACAGATCGCAAGACTCCGAGACTCTAATTTTCCCGACTCAGTTATTACTTCAGACTGCTATAAGGTGACTCGGTACATGAAGATTGATTCCAGAAAACCTGACAAAGAAAAGGCCATGATAGACAAAAAGAACGTCGCCGTTATTCCTTATATCCATCGTCTTTCACACGGGTTAAAGGGAGTCGGTTCGAGGTACGGGGTCAACGCAATTTTTTCAGCGCGTAACAAACAAAGCGGTATTATAAACGTGGTTAATAAGCTTGCTGGCAGGAAAAGTAAGCCAGAACTTTTTGGATGTCGCGTAAAGCATGGCATGAAGTTCGTGTCCTGTGCACGGGGGACCGTTTATGAAATACCTTTCTCATGCGGTCACTCTTATATAGGTCAGACGGGACGTTGCCTCACATTCACCTACGCGAGCACCACAGCTCATTAAAAGGTAGCGCGTACTCCCATATAGCTGTTCACTGCCGGGATTGTGGATGTCAGCCACGATTTAGCGACACAAACGTTCTGTTTAAACACAAAGACCAGCTATCGAGGGAGGTAGTAGAAGCTTACCATATAGCAAAGCGAAAACCCGGGTGCGTGAGCCAACCATCCATTAACCTAGTGGACAGTGAGATGGTTTTTTTTGGACATGGGCTGACCAGAGACTTGAAGATCGAGATTGAAGATCAAAGAAAGGAGGAAGAAGACGCGAGGCGTATACCTGTCCTGGTGTGATTTAGTGTACTGGTGTGTTTTAATTTAATATGATTTACAATGTTGCGTGCAAAATGGTGAATGACCGGTGGACGAGGAAAAAGACGAAGTCGTCCTCGCGTGAATTTCTCCGTGTTTCTTCTAAATATATAGTTCATAGTCAGCACCTCATCCTGTGTCTCTTCTTCTTGTCCGTGTGTCTTTCGCGCTGTTTTTCAAACAGAACAATATAACTGAGAAACAATGTTACGCTTATCTTTTTGTTCTCAATGCATAATGGGACAATCCCCAATTATTTTATTCTTTAAATTAGTCTTAAAGGAGAATAATTTTCTACCTAGAAACAAGTGAGCTAAACTTTACTTAAGTTTGTATAATATTTATAGTTTTACATTATTAAGGCATTTTGCTAGAGTAAGAGATCGAGACGGTGCTAAATTTAAAATAGTCGAATTGTTTGGTTGACGACCTGTATAGTTTGAAAGATAAAATATTTCATAGAGTATTTCAATTTTAAATCAAGGACAGTAACTTCCGTTGAAAATATTTTTTTGGGTTCACGAGTGTCCTTATAATTTCCTTTTCATCAACTTTAAATCAGGCGTTCCTGGAGTTCCTGTGGGGATCAGGCAACATGGTGGGTTCCGCCATCGGTGGAGCACTCATTGACGTAAGTAGACAAAAATGGCCGTCCCTCGGTGTGAGATGTTAAAATAACTCCGCTTTTCATCCCTAATCCGTCTATTTGATATGTTCCCTATCGCAAACAGGTATGGGCCTTTCCCCTTCCCTTCTTCGTGCTGGGCACCATCACGATACTGCTATTTCCTGTGATTTGGAGTATGGGTTCTAAACTTAACAGCGTTGGAGGTAAGTTCTCCACGCGCACTCATTGGTCACCTCTTGTATACCGCATCGAGATGCACTCTCGACGTTAGCACTGTCTTGTTTAAGTCTGCTTAACAAACAGGACCGTTAAGCGAAATCATGCTCGGATGGATAGGGCTTCAGGACATTTGTCGTTGAAAACTAATCAAAAGGTCACCGTTCACTTGGGTTTCTAGGACACCTCGGTCTATCGCATACACGCTTGGACGTCTATAAGGGTGTAGTGATTACAACAATACCTCTGTGAAAACAACTTGTATTTTTTTTAAATATTTTCCCAACAGGAGAGGTGGCGTCCGAAGAGTGCGCAGATCTACCTCACCTCAATTACAACAAATTCTTTCGAGATCCAGAGTTTTTGGTGGCCATGATATCACTCATGCTGAGTTGGATTATGCTAGGCTTCAACGAACCCACTTTGGAACCTAGTCTCAGAGATGTAAGTATGTCTTTTAATTCCCTTAAATGTACGCTGCTATTTAGACGTATCTATTTTTTCATCGAAATCCGCATCTTGTTTTCTAAAAAGGTATCTTGCTTCAACATGCTACACATGCATCACTATAGTTAATATTTACAATGTGGTGCAGTTGCCATGTGAAAAAATAAAAGTCGTTTACAAATATCTGTAGTGCCTAATTAGAGCGCAGCTCTTGAGGTATTTTGATTCTGCCATATACCGTGCTAAGGAATTTGATATATATATATATATATATATATATACCTCTCCTCCTCTCCTCCTCGTCATAGAAATGCCACCGGCAGCCACATTTGCATATATATATATATCTATATCTATATATATATATATATATATATATATATATATATATATATATATATATATATATATATATATATATATATATATATATATATATATATATATATATCAGGGTGTCGAACCGGAACCTAACCGGTATTTTTTCCGGACCTGAACCCGAACCCGAACCGGAAAAAAAATAACGGTTTCCGGCTCATGTCAAAACGGTTCGGCCACGCGCTGTTGACAATGAATGTGCTATCAATGCCATTTCTTTTTTAAGTGTCGTCAACTGACGCACACCTCGCTTACATATTTTTCTTCTCCACTCCGTCTTAGGAATATAAACACTGCATCCATGAATCTTGACAAACGCTGCATCCATGAATCTTGACATAGGAACCAGTATTGCGCTGGTCGCGGCTTGCACGAAAAAAAAAAAAGAATTAAAAGACTGTGCAAAAAAAATAAAAAAATCGCGTCACGGGATTTTATTTTTCTACAATCTCGTAAATCCTAAATGCTGCTGTGTGCTCATTTCATAACACGTTTCTAGAACGCGCGAGTTCTTGAAGCTTGCTTCCATTGGAACCCGTATTTTTTTCGGTTCGACACACTGATATATAATATGCAAATTTGGCTGCCGGTGGCATTTCTCTGAGGAGGAGGAGAGGAGGAGAGCCCCTTCACCTCCTCCGGTTACGCCGACGCCGACGCCGCAAAACACGGGAACGAGCGCCTAAGAGCTGCGCTCTAAAAAATAATGGTTCTTTCTTAGACGATATACACTGGGTATTTGTTTTGCCAGTCAGATCTATAACACAGAATTACAATCAATTCCAGCTTCTTGAATGGCGGTTTAGAGAGCATGAATTTCGCTTCGCTTAATATGGTATTGGTGTCTGCGCACTATGTGGCCAATTTGAACTCTTCAGTATGGCTGCAAGCCTGAGATTCTTTACGAGCATGCGTCGGGATATACATGCAGTCTAACCAATCCATAAAAATCTCAAATTATCGCTTCATTGTTCTGTCGTGTGTACACCAACATGGGCAGTATACTTGAAGAGTTCTTGGTTAATTTATATTGTATGTTGAGACCAGGGAAGGATGCAAGCCATAAAAATGTATTATTTTCAATTAAGTGGTTTCTGCAGGCTGGGAAGACAATTCGTATACACTGAGTAAGTATGACTAGTTCTCGTATTCTAGCTTATGTATTACATGCAACAACAAACTCAAAACCATTGAAACATGCCGCAAATATCGTAGCGCAGATAGCCTCTTTTCAAATCAGAAGCGCTTCACCTGTTACTTTACTTTGCAGCCTTTTCTAAATATCGTATTTAATGGATCTCCGTTTAGTATCAGGGAGAGTGAATAATGTTAATTCATTCAGGAAAACACCGGGGTGCCACTCTGAAGTCACACAATTCTCTTCTTTTTTTCAGTTTAATCTGACCAGCACTGGTACTGGCGAAGTGTTCACGGCGCAGTTTGCCAGCTATGCAGTAGGAGGAATAATCGCTGGCACAATGTGCGCTTTTGATGTAAGCAACGTACGCATATTATACCAACCCCATAATGGCGGTTCAAACCGGCACGCAAAAGGTCGCCCTGAATAATGCGGAGAGTGGAACCCGTTTTTGTTCGTTTGTTTTTCACACTCGCAGCCGGAAAAACTGAATGTATACAGAATCGCCTGAACCATCTAGAGAGGCAGGCCAGCACACAGGCGACGTGCAGAAGGGGAGGCGAGTTAAGCAGGAAAGGGAAAAACGCATATTCTTCTCTAAGGGGGGGGGGGGGGAGGGAAGGAGGGAAAAAAGCACCCTTTGGGAGATTTTTTAGTGACTTTGAGGGGGAGCGTGCAACCAAAGCAACTGAATCCAAAGCTCCCCTTGTCCTTTTGTAGTGTTACCGAGATGCGATATGCGCCCCCTCACCCCACCCCGCACTGGCACCTCTTCCGCGCAAGGTTCGTGAGGAGGGCGAGGTAGGTGAACCACTTCTTCTGATCGGCTACTGCGAAGCGAAAACCCGGCGCTCTCCGGCCTCCCAAGTGGAAACCCCTTTTTTGTTTTTGTAACTTCACCTGGCCGTTTTTGCCCATAAGCGTGTATGGACGAGATGTGAAGGGACAGCGCGCCAGGACGCCGGAGACGGAAAGGTTCAGAGGGAAATGAAAATAGACAACGACGGCCGGGAGCGGGAGAAGAGACACCATTTGTGGGATTTTAAAGTTGCGAGGATACAAGGGGAGAATAAAACAAAGCAACTGCTTCTTAAGCATCCTTTTGTCCTTCGGTTGGGTTCCCAAGATGCGATTAGCACCCCCGTTCCCTCCAACCCCACCCCACCACCCTCAAGTTTGAAGTGAGGCGCCAAAACAACGAGGACACAAGGAGAGAAGCAGACAGGGCGAGGCGCACTTTCAACTGAAATATTTTAGAAAAACACAGAAACGCAAGCTATGCCCAATGTACACGTGCGCATGGGTAAGAAAAAAGATAGAACGAAGCCTAGCGCGTTTTCCTACGTGACACGTTCATCTTGAAGGAATGTATACTCCCTATCAGATAGAGATGAAGATGGGGCGCTGACACAGACATCGGTGCCACGAGATCTTATGGTGAAGGCCTCCAAGATTTCGCGAGCGATTTTTGTTGCGCCGCTTCTAACAAGAATTGTTGGAAGCGGCGCCCCATCTCAGCGCCCCATCTTTATCTCAATCTGATAGGGAGTATACTCTCCTTCAAAATGAACGTGTCACGTAGGAAAACGCGCTAGGCTTCGTTCTACCTTTTTTTCTTACCCATGCGCACGTGTACATTGGGCATAGCTCGCGTTTCTGCGTTTTTCTAAAATAAAGTTCAGTTGAAAGTGCGCCTCGTCCTGTCTGCTTCTCTCCTTGTATCCTCGTTGTCTTGGCGCCTCACTTCACGCATGTACAACCAACTAACCCAACTCGCCGTTTTAAAACACCCTCAAGTTTTGCGAGGAGGGCGGTGAGGGACAGTTCAGCGCTTTCTGAGGCCGGACAATGTTCAATATATTCAACTTTAGACCCGGAAAGCAGGACCCCGCAAATCGTCACGTTCACATGACCGTTGTCGTCACTCCTCTCCACCCGGATTTTTCCTGGATCAGTTTTCGCCCGTTTTTATGGTTGGTTTAGGCCTCCCATTTAAGGGCGGTCCAAACCAAGCTGTCTGCCGGAACCGTGGGACCCGGAGCACGTCACCGGTGACCTCACATTGAAATTACACCCCTCTCCCGGTTTTTCTTCAGGAGTCGTTTTGCAAGCTGGTTTAGACCGGGCTATACTCAGTAAAATGAGCTAAAAAAACCGGGGTCTGTGCCTCGTAAGCAGATATGTTTGTCGTTGGGCTCATTTACCGGACGGTGTTACATCATAAAATACGAGGTATAGCTCTAAGCCTGCGAAATGAGAAAACAAAATACTTAAAATCTTGTACACTGGTCCCCGGCCCGGAGAGCAGAGTCGATTCCAGACTCACGCTATCTGACCTACCCCCGCGTGACGCGCAGATGGTGATAAAAAAAAAAAAAGAAACCATAACGATGGATGGTAATGAAATCGAAGATTACCTTTCAGTAGTCAAACCCTCGTCTTAAACTAAGTGTATCCAAATTAAGGGTAAAGCCGCAAGTAAAATAAACCAGTAAACGCGGTTGAACAAACTCGCGGTCACTGCGTCCCTCGCTTGTCTTCGGTTTCATACTTCTAGAGCGTTGTCGAACAATTCGATCGTGTCACGTGGTTTATCGGCCGCGTTTCCAATACGCGCTGCAAGGAGGAAACGAGCGCGTCGATCGTCTGCAAGCGTCTCTGCCTTTCGCCTGCTTTTCTCCTCGCCTGTCGACAACGCAGCGCATGCGCACTTGCGATCAGTCGGCACGGGAGGCGTCTGCAATTAAATTGCAAACACTCCCCTTGGTTTTAGATGTACCCTCTCTACAATGTAGACAATCCACCTTCTTTCCAAGGGCTTACGACTCCAACCCTCGGCAAAAGCACGCAACGTAACTGGCTGATCGACTCCGTCGTCTATTTCAGCGTACCGCGTTTGCATTTCCAAACATTTATTGTAATTTTCCACACATTGAGATCACCCCCCAGAAAAAAAAAAAAAGCACAAAAGGTCCTAACCACTTAAAATATTGATTTCAAAGACTATAATAAGCGGGCCACTTGCAGGCACTTTACAGGATATTTCATTATCGATGCAACAGTATATATTGCATAGAACTGAATTTTATATGCCACCGCAATAACGATAGACCGGCCTGAAAAAAAGCACAGTATTGCCGCTTGGCAGAGTTTCAATCCCCAGCAATGTAAGTAGTAGTGGAAAAACGAAATGGGAAAAAAGGAAAATACCGTGTCTACGAGAAAAGGCTGGAAAAACACGCGGAACAGCTGTGAAATCCAGAGCAAAAGTTTGGCATGCTGCAAAAAACAAATTAGGGCAAACACTTCACAAAGATCCGCACATTCTACGGAACAGCCAAGCAGAAAAGGCGCACATTTTTGTTGATATATTATATCGTAGTAGTGTCGCGAAAGTCTTTTTACGAACCCAAAAACCGCATTTAGGAAGGTAAAACCAGACATGCACATGTTACCCTCAAAAGTAAGTAAATAACGTTACTCGTTACTTGCTCAGAAAGAGACTAAATACGTTACTCGTTACCAATTTCGCAAAGGTACGCGTTGCTTTACCTCAAAAGTAGCGAGTAAATTCGTTACTCGTTACTTTTCTAGAAAAAGTAACTAAAAACGTTACACGTTACCAAAAACGTTATTAGGCAGAAGTAACTCGTTGCTAGTAACGCGGTACGTACATGCCTGTGGAAAACGGGGATACTATGCGATGAACTGGCGCTTAAATTCTACATTGGTTTTCGAAAAAAAAAAATGCAATAATGAGCGTACCTAAACCATGTATTTTATACTTCACACCCCCACATTGCTATATCAGAAAAAAAGTATGTATTATTATTTTATTGAGGTATTTAGCGCACAGGGTAAAGAGAAGGGCAGGGCATGAAAAGAGCGCTACTTACAACTACGTTTACTGACAAGAAAGGAAGAGAGAAAAAAAAAAAAATAACCCGCCGCGGACTCGTGCATCTACCACAGCGCCGTGAATGATAGCGGCCAGTTCATCCAGGCTCGTGTGGGCCCTTCATTGTTTGTTCAAGAAATTCCCTGTCTTTGTTTGATAGCGGTACGGATTCAACACTAACACAGTTCGTGTCCTCACGAAGGATTTAGAAGGCCTCCAATACCTCGCGGGTCAATTTGTCTTTGTTCTTCGCCAAGATGTTGGTCTCACGGAATGATGGTCTGCACGTGCTTTTTCTGCAATGGAGAGGAAGATTTCCGCCCACTGTAGCCTTCAAGGAGTCATCATGCTCCGGGAGTCGGTCATTGAGGCATCTGCCCGTTTGGTCTATGTAGCCCTTGCCACACGGAAGAGTATCTTATATACGACGCCCGAAGCGCATGGAAGAAATTTGTTTGCATGCTTCTTGGTGCACGTGGGTTTTGTAGTACCCTCAGCATGCGTATTCACTCTAGCGCGAATTTGGCTCATTTTTTGTGGTGCTGAAAAAACTACTCTGACCCCATAGCGGCTTGCGACGTTTTCTTAAATTATCGGACATCCTGTGCAGGTGCGTATTACTAATGGCCTTCTTTTCTCTACACTCGTCTTGTTAGACTGGAAGCCTTTTGCCTTATTCACTAGAGCGTTTACCACATCAGCCAGTAGGGCTGACGAATAGCCGGCTCTTCTTAGCCTCTCTACTTGCATAGTGAAGCTGGCTGACATGGTATGAAGACAAGACTTCCTTAGTACCGAGCCCAGAGACGTTAGAGCTGTGCCCCTCTAGATGAATTCTGAGTGCGCTTTTTGAGTGCTAAATACCTCAATATGTTAGACTACCAACTAGCCCAAAAGTCAACTTTACTGTATTATTATTATTATTAATATTATTACTTATGATTGTCAGTATTATTAATTATATGATATTCTAGTATTATTCTTTATCATTTTAATTATTATTATTATTATTATTATTACATTGGTCTGATTGTGAAATATGGCTGACGTTCTTCCTACAGTCTTCAACTCCTAGCTCAGATTTGTCCTTTCTAAATCTGCAAAGTTAATCAAAACATTAATTCTTAAAACATTGTAAAACGTTCCTAATTCCCACTTATTCTGCTTTTTTGTTTTAATCCTGTAGCTGGAATTATTCTACGTAGTTCTGGGAACTTCATTCTCTGCAATGGGCTACTTACTGGTTGGGCCTGCACCATTCATGCAGCACATTCGGTAAGATTGGACAATTCCTGCCTTCATTATATTCCACATATATGCCGTCAAACATGAGCTAACACTTAAGAAAAAAAGTTAGAAAAAACATGCGCCGCGTTTGCTGGTGTTGAGTGTCAGTGTGTGGAAATTATGTCCCATAAATTGAAGAACATTCAATAGTGTCGAATTGACTCTACGCTGAAGCAGTCTATAAAATGCAAGTACAGAGCAAATGATTGATTAAAAAAAAAATGACGCGGAGCCTAGCAAAGCGGGACTAGATTTCCCTTGAAGGGTAAATCCTGTACATTTTCTCGATTCAACGGCTACGATGATTTTCAGTCAAGGAAATGTACCTAAATTACGAGGCGTCATTTTTTTTTTTTGTGTATTTTTGTAGGTATCTTTTTTGAAAGCTTTATTTCGGGGATTTACGGCGAAACCGAAACTACCGGCTCTATCATAATGGCAACCCTTGTGATCGGCTTCATGGTCATCATGGGGCGCAAAACTCGTAACGCGGTACCGCAAAATGTGCGACTGGCCTAGTACCAAGGGCAGTTCCGATCAGTCGGGTAAGATGCTACGATAAAGGGGTACGAAAACGAAATTTTAGCTCTTATTTCTTTGTTTAGGCAGAAACTATGTTGTGTCAGCACCTTAGAAACACCATTGTTCCACTCGTAAACGCACAATTAATTTTAAAACGAATAAAACAATTTCTCAATACAACCTGGTAGTTGGGGATGTCGATGTGGTTATGGCGTTGAATGCATCCCGCCCCAGTGCCACTCACGGAAGTACAGCCAAAATATATTGACAACTTGGGCTCGGACGGACGTGCATTTCACACCATCAAGGTCGCCGTTCTTAGCAGACGATATGTAGGAGCTTAACCTAGGGATGCGGGGCCTCTTTCATGCAAACTATACCAGAAGTGTCCCTAGTCTACTCAAAATACTGTATTTCAAATATATTTGGTAGTATTTTGATATCTTGCAAATACATTTTGAGTGCTACTCTATCATGATTACATTTCTCACTATCCTGTACTAGGTATCTCAAATAGATTTTGAAACCGTATAAGAAGACAAATTCGCTCGAATGATCGACGTAACTAGGTATCGTCAGACTCCAGGGCAGAGCTGAACCGATTGAAAACTTGGAGCCAAGTGACCGAACACAAAACAGGAAAGGCACGAGCAAAACGCAGCTTTCAAATGTCAAGAAAAGCTGGATGGCTCAGAGAACGCCCGCCTCTATGTGTCGTCTTGTCCACCTTATTTTTCCTAAGCTGTTTTTGAATGGAACTTTACGCTTTTAGCAGGCGAATCACTCGTGACGCCATCACGATTGCACAGTCAGACCTCGCCTTTTGTCTGGAGCTAGAGTATAGTTCTGTCGGCGGAGGATTGTGACGCCAACGCTCCGGACGATCTCAATAAATCATTTTCGGAAATCGCAGATTCAGAGGCTACCAAGATGAAAATGCGAGAACGCGTTTTTCTACGAGCGCAAGCACTCCCTCGGCCAAAGTCGCTGGACTCTGCTGGTTTTATTGAGCTGCGGTGACCTAGATTGGGCTTTACCAAAGCTCTTTGTGTGCCGATTCTGGCTTGACGTTGGCTCCGAAGTTCGATCAGAAGATTTCCTTTCATCTTCTTCCAAATGCGCGCATTGCTTCGTCCTCAAAATCCTCCAGTTTTCCACCGGGTGGAGTAATTTATAAACTATAGTCGTGACAACCTAAGTGGTCAGGGAAAGCTCCTCCCATCTCTTTCCACTTTAGAAGAGCGAACGCTTGCGAGAAGGTTGTTCCTCTCCGGCACTCGCTCTAGAGTGGAATGGTGTGGAATGAGCTTCCCCTCAACTCTTAACTTATCACCGGCTATTGTGGATTCTGATTCTGAAATCTTGACCGTCTTGCCCTCAGTGCGTGAAGAGTAGTTTGATCTGGTGCACAAGGGGGCAGGGAAAGGGGATTTAGACGCGATTTTGTGGACACTTTCTTGTATTTCCCTCTTGACCTTTCTAATAATCTTTATTTTTGACATGTTGAAGGTACAGGTGCTTCTACTAGCTTTTGACTAGGAGGACAAAGTACTCGCTCTTGTTGTTAACCAGCGACAGAGGCTGCTCTCCTGGAGTAGATGTTTTTCCTGAGCGGGCACGTGTGTCGTTCACTCCCGTACTCATCAATAAGTTTGGCTGCCTGATCAACTTCTAGATTGGCTCTTATATCCCCAGAATCGCGGCGGGGCGTATTGCGAATTTATTGCGAAATGCGTCATGAGCCGACACTGCCCTCAAACAAAAGCACGGCACGTTCCATATCTATATCACACCAGTCCCGTTTTTTTTTTTTTCTTTAATATTTCTTCACGCATTATGTGGCCTATCCCGAATTATTTCAGACTGAACTTCAATGCTTCATCTAAGGGTCATAACAAATACAGCAAAATTTGATTTTCAGAGAAGTCATCACAAATAGAGCACCTTTTTTCACTTATTTTTATATTACCTAGTTGCAAGCCTCGCGTAGTATATACGAATGTATTTTAATTACTTTTTCTAAGTACGTGTACTCTACTCAAGATAGTTCGCACTACTTGTTACTTGAATACTACTCTAAATACATTAAACAAGTGGGTATCTCGCATCTTATCTTAAATACGTTTCTTGAGTATTTGGCACAACAGTAATCCATACCGCCCCGCCTCCCCCCGCTCCCCGGATGCGATGTTAATTACGCGCTCAATTATGGCACCCAGTGAATACCTTACAATCCCAGCATGCAGATATTGCCATCGCTGGGTACGGTTATTTTGACTTCCTGGTTCGCTGGAGTTCCTACTTCTACGGTGTGAAACTAAACGATAAACCGAACGCACACGGCAGATAAAATACCGGCATAACCGCGAATGACGTTACGGGAAAACTATTGTATAGGACATAGGGCGCACAGTCCTCAGAAATTACTACTAGTCGAGATTGTCACGCGTTGGCGCCGCCAAGCGTCAATGCTCTCAACTACAGTAACCTTGGCCGTGCAGAGGCCCTTGACGCCATGAGCGCAATACGCAGTGAGCTCCTCGTTGGCCGATTTTGAAGCGAGAGGCAGAGAGCTCGCAGCTACGTCATTTCATTTCCGCACCCTTTTCCTACACATTCATAAAGTTGTCGGACAAAAAGCGAATTTGCCATGATGAACCCAGGCTCATAAAGAGCCGCCACTAATCTTCTGAGAAGAACTACAATCTCGGTGGAGTGCAATGAACGTTGTAGAAAACTTGTAGAAGTTAATGGCAAGCTTGCCTTGAGCAGGAACGGACTAAGCAATTGCCGGCAGTGATTGCAATCTCGGCACCACGACGCGCTTGAGCGAGCACGGAGTCTATAATCTTCGTCTCGATCGGTGAAGAGCAGTAAATAACTATAGCCTCTAAAACAAATCATAACAAGCATAAATCGTCCTCTCGGACAGTTCAGAAGGCAACAGAGAAACACGTCAGATGAAGTGGTAGAGGGAACGAGAAACTTCCTTGAAAACGAAAATGTCATTTGAGCATAAGGTTGCTTGACAAACAGCCAACCCGCTGAACGCCTGCAGAGAAGCTAGTGGTAGCATTTTTAATATTGGTTTTAGAGTGGATCCCGGTTTTCCATTTGTGTATATATTGGCACTGATCGTATTTAGTGTCCGTAAATCGATATCAGTCATTTACTTTGATTCGACTTTTGGCTTGAGTTTTCCTTTGATAGAAATGCGCCAGGGGAAATCCTCTGTCTGCCCCAGTTTTGGGTTAAAATCAGCACGGTACATTATCACCAGCTTGCCTGCGCACTGACTGTAATTTAAATTTAAGGCGTTCTGGGTTGCCGGGTGGAGTTCGAATGCGTATTTAACTAATTTCGTGACCATAACCGGCTTCCTTTATACATACTTATAAAATTCAAAGGTAATAAAACTATCAAACCGAAAATTACATTTTTCCAAACTATCGGCATTTTTTTTTTACCCGCATCTGCGTTAAATTATCATGTCATGAGAAGAGCAACTAATTCTCGCCAGATTAGGACTTCTGTTTAGGACAGCACTTTGCTTTCCGAGGAGCATGCATATATAGTGCCCTCGACAATCGCACGGAACCTCAATTAATGTTTTAACCGAGACTAATTTTTCCCGCCGATTTCCATCGAGCTTTGTAAAGTTTGGCTGTAACAGCCGGCTCTATCGACACCGAAACACTTACGATCAAAGGGAATCCTATGAAATGACTTCAGTCCCCCGGACAAACCTCAACTCACCCCCTTTAAAATTTTAGCCAAGTGCTTTACCGCCAGAGCTATGCAAGGTCGTCAATAGCGACAACGCAGGAGCAAGCTCCTTCGAGAGGAGCTCGAGTTAGCTCGCGCTCTTCGCAGCCTCTCCAGTCATGTAGCGCCATCTCACGGTGTGTGTCAGAAATGAAAGCGAATCGTCGGTAGGCGGTACCGTTTCAGACGCCCTTTCTTCTTTCCTGGAAGGCCTGTCGCACATTTTGCGCTTACCATCCTTGTCAGTATGATCCAATCAGCATAAATTTCCCTTAATCAGTTCGACCAATGAGAAGGAAAATGGTTTATCACTTCTCAAGTGCAATGCAGCTTCAGTGGCTAAATTACGTCCGTTTTTTTGTTACTTTCTGCTGCTGAGACAGCAAGCCAATAGACTACTTCCGAAATTCCCTGCATGTAACACTGCGTCCGTTGCATTACGTCCTTTCTGGCCATGAAGAGGAGAGGCATGGTTTCGATATCTATTGTTCCACTGACGAAGTAGTGCTCCTCAGCACAGCGTGAAAATAAGGTCAGCGCTCACTTGCATAGCACCCATTAGTCTTCGTGGGAGCCCATGTTGAAACACGAACCTCCAGCGTGCTTTGGGACCTGCCGAGACTTAACGAGGGGTAGGAGAGCTGCCGCCCGCGTCCCATACTTTTCTGGAAGCCTGGTTATGACTCCAGAGCGCGTCATGACTCTACCGGTTCACGGGTCATTTAAGAAACCTAGGATATTGAGACGATGAAACAAGCTGATCGGCCAAGTACACTTCTTCCTCTGTTTACCTGCGCACGAACTCTGATACGTCGGCTGTCCCAGATAAACGCATCCCATCATTATTTTCGTATTCGTAGGTAGCAGCTACAGTATTATACATCAAAGGAAAGTGCCATTTTTGAAAATACATGCACTGAATTTGGTCGCTACGGAATATCGTTAACTGAGCTTGGCAAATTGATACCTAAACCATGATGATTGAATTGCCCAGATTCTTTGCGCAGCGCAACACCCCTAGGATCACTGCGATTTTACGAGAGGTCTATTGGAGCTAGATACTCTCCAAAGGTATCGTAGGTTGAAATCATTAAATGAAAGAACAATGATTCGTGTTCCGAGTTAAGCGCGGGGATATTTTCCGAGGAACTTTTCAAAGATGGTGCATTTTGGAGAAGAAAAAACCTGAACGTGAATTCGCCTACTTTAATCTGCATTATTTACACAAAAACGAACGCTTCAAGCGTCTCGGGAGTCTATTGGCGTCGTAAGTACAAAACATATACATTTGTTTTAGATTTTGTCGAAGGTGTTTTTGTGCCATAACTTTTGGAATGTCAAAATGAAAATTTCGCTCTTGAGTTTTTGAGTAAATATAGATTATATGTAGAAACTATTAATTTTTCAATGCATGACTTCACGCGACAGATATTACACAAGTTCGGATTACGTATAGCTGTCGTTACGCACATGGCAAACATCCATATGTTATCGCAATAATCTGTTCGTTTGCTTTCTCCCTCGCGTGCGAGGACTTTAAGTGATTTAAGTATTAGTTTTATGTACGTTGTTTTTGTTAGCTATGCTCCTGCTTCATTTCATATGTAATCACTTGCTGACTTTTTTCTGCGTCTTGTAAAATTACGTGTATCTTTGTAACATTGTCAACTCGCTCAAATTGGTCGTGGCTATGCGTTATATTGTCGGGCATTAGGTTGAAGAATGGGGTATAAACCCTGGCCAAGTTATCCCTTCTACCATTTTCTTTTGTCTCTGGCCTCCCAATTTCTGCTGCAGTATTGTTGCTGTTAAGAAAAACACACAGAAAAACTTCATATTCTACTGTATTTTCGGTTTTATAATCCATCCCTGATTTTTTTTCTCCTTCCGTTGCTGCAGAAAACTTTGGGTGGTCTACATTTCACAGGTTCTCATGGGACTAGGGATGTCCGCTCAGTTCATTTGCGGATACTGCCGCGGGCTCAAACTGGTAGAGTAAGTTGCAGGAAGAGCGCTCACACATTTCTTACGGTCTCACATGTGATCATCTGCCTTTCTTTTTTTCAGAATTCGAGGATACCCGGATAGCATTCGCTCCAGCGGCTTTGTATCAAGTTCAGTGTTCACCTTCGCGGTTTTTGGGCAGGTTTCATTTCTGTACACCTTACCATTTTTAGTTGGGAATCGCGTATTTCTCTTCGTTGTCTTTTTTCTCTAAAGCATCTTAAGCAACCTTTCATACCGAAACACACCTGAAGAAACGCGAGTCGTATTTCTTTATGTTTATGTTTCTTGTTTTGTGAATGTTTTTTTTTTGCGCATTTATCAGCTACTTTTGCAATGGCACTTACTACAGAGCAACAATTAAATGTATGCCTCTGACTCTCTATCAACTATGCGTCTCTGAAGCTGGCGATGTCTAAATTCTCATGTGACGATGTATTTATCAGAGGCGTCTATAACTAATTATACTTCGAGCACCAATCGCCTGACTCTGTTGTCTCGACAGATCCATGGTGGCACCTCCTGTCGCTGGCTACTTGGTTGATACATTTGGCTACAGAAACGCAACGATGGCAATGTTTGGACTATTAGTGGCCTGGGTGAGATTCGATTTGATGAAGTGTTCTAACCTAAGTTGGCAATGCCTATGCTGTGTATCATTGTTGCTAAGAACGCAACGAACACATTAGGCCGTAATGGTCTAGGCTACATAAGCGCAACAGATAGCTTTTAAACAGTCGTAAATGGCAGCATCAATAATATATATTTCTCTCGTTAATGTTTATCGGAGTGATAGTATCAATGTTTTTTTCTTTTTTTTATGGCAGAAGCTAGAACAATAGAAGACCTATTGTTTTAGAAATATCTAGTGAAATTATTTAAAAAAAAACTTTAATCGCTTTTTTCATTTTCATTCAGGTTTCTTCCTAAGTAGTTTCTATCAGCATTGATGGTTTGTCCGGTATGTTTTGACTGAGATACTCTAACGAAGACAACAAGATTAAGGAAATATAAACTTATTTATTTTATCATCTGACTAGTTAGGCTGACGGGGCCTGAATAAGCATTGTCGAGTTGCAAAGGTACAACAGATGCTTTGAATCGCATTCGGCACGCTGCCGTGCATGTCTCGTTATATGCTAACCAGATCACTAATTACATTTTTTATTTTTCTTTCAGCTGCCTGTCCTGCTTGTGTTATGGTTGAAATCGATGTTTTTCGCCCACAAATCACGAAAGTTCATAATGTGACGAACGCACTTTAATGCAGAGCCTTCCTACTTTTTAAGAGTTTTGTAAGATTTAGTTAAGCCAGTCACTTAAAAGGTCAGGGCATTTTACTTCCTTTTTGTTTACTTAGTTCGCTTCACATTTTATTTTAATATTGTTGCTATGAAAACACAAATATCAAAACGGCATAAAATCTGAAATTAATATTTTGCTTTTTTTTCTCCTCCAGATAATAATGCGTTTTATTAGCTTCTAAATTACAGATATCGTATATTTTATGGGCCCCAATATTACGTCAAGCGTGCGTAGCTCTGTTTTGATTTTGCTTTTGTAAATACTTATCACTTTGTGAACTTGTGCTCTTCGCTTGTAATATTTTGCCGTGTCAGAATATTTAGACATGAGATTATGCCCTTTGTAAGGGAAGTACAACCGGAATAAATAGAGCAAAACAAAGGCACTGTCTCCAAGAGTCTTACTTAAAAGACACCATAAAGAGAAAAAAAGTGAAGGTCTAAGCCAAATCCTGAGCTGTCCGTTCCTATACTCATCTTCACGTATTGCCCGCTGCAAATCACTGGTAACTATAAAGCAGTTCCACCCGCAAGAAGTAGGCCCTTTTTGTTTTTCTTAGCCTCTTTTTATTCGTTTTGCTTAAGTCGGGCCTAGTCATTTTGCCTTGAGTTAAAAAGCGTACCTAAGCTGCACTTTTCTAAACCCCGTCTTTAGATTGCAGCGTGTTATGCTCCGTATACTCCGTGAAGTATAAAGATGTAAAAAGTAGGGATGCGTGTGATGAAAAGAAAAGAAACTGATGGGGAATAAGTTTTTTTTTTCTTCTCGAACATAATCACCGAAAAGAAAACGTGATTCAGTCTACAAACATGTGTTTGCAACGAGTGTCGAAATGGAGGTAATAATTGTGTCGAAACAAAAACTATAGCCATAATATGCTTACGTTGAAGGGGCTTCATTGAGAAAGCAGGAGGAGGAATAACAACTGCAGTCTACTAAATGCAAGGTTTTGTGAGAGAAACTGACCCTCAGTTTTTCGGCTCGCATAAACGAACTAGACATCAGAAAAAGCTCAAGATTTATGGAAAGCCCACTAAGAACCCAAGTGAAACTTTTCCCTATTTGGATTCTGGAACTAGAGATCAACTGGAATTGTTTCTGGAAATCTGAAATCCAGATTGTAAACTAAGGAAAACATTTTGAAAACTTGTACTCCATATTTAAACCAGGTAGATTTCCAGTTCGTAATCCAGATAGCGGAAACTTATACTGGGTTTTTTGGTAGGGAATGTGGCGCTAGTGGTAGTGATACAACGAGCAAGTGTGCGAACATTAGCCTATCTGTATTGAAAGATAAAACAAGAGGCGCGTAAAATTTCTGAGCTGTCGCTGTCCTAAACTTGTATTCGTAAAACAAAAAAAAAATGACAGCATGGTGTGGAGAAAGCCCGCTGCATTTATTTCTATAAAAATAATAGTTACCAAGGAAGGCAGCATAGCTATGCAGCTTGCTGGTAGCTTTTTTCATAAATATAAATTATGCAGGCACCCAGAATTCAATTTTTCGGTTTGATGAATCATAGACTCGGGTGGACGTTAGCTCACATAGGAAGTCAGTTTCCCGGTCGTATCTTTTGATACAGGTGACGTCAACTTCTCAAGCTTTCTCATTCTCTCACCACCGCTAGTGCCACATTCTCGCGGGGTTCAAGCTTTATATGCGCTATTTATGCGGACCAATGAATTGAGTTAATTTATTTCTGTCGAAGCCCTTATACTTGCTACGCCAAAAAAAAGAAAACAGCACGCCAGCGGTATAAAGTATTAAGCTCGGGCGCTTGAGGAAGTGTGCTCCTCGTTACCACGTGTTGGTTGCATTGCACTAAAACATTATCAACCCTTTTTTCGCTGTGCGGAATGGCTCGTGTGGCAGTAGAGCAAAAGAGTTTTAAAAAGGCTATATCAAACTACGTCTGGGAAATGTTGGCAATAGTAGACCTATTACTTTTAGTGATGTTTGATTTTTATTGGTGCAATGAATACATCCATTTAAAAACACCAAACTTTACATCTTCTATGACATGCTTTCCAAACAATACGGCTTCGACTGCTTCGTCAGCAGCAGTGCACAATGTTAGTGAACAAAAATATTGCTCCTATAATACACAAACAGGCATCCACTATTGCAACCGACAAGTGCATAGCTTTCAGTAAAATTACATCATGCTTGACGAACTATCGATTCATAGAAATGCAAGTAGAAGTAGCCCTACCTTAAAACCCAGTATAACTCTTCATTATATGGATTATGGAACTGAAAATCAAACTGTGATTGTTTCTGGAAACCATAAAGCCAGATTGCAGTCAAAGGAATAATTTCTGAGAACCTGAAATCCAGATTGAATCCAGATATATATTTAGTTTCATAATCCAGATAGCGAAAAGATAAACTTGGTTTTTAGGTAGTGAATACATGGCGTCTATAAGGAATAGAGCAAGTTAAACGTTTATCTATTGCCTCACCTCCCTCTATCTTCCAAAGGTACAGCTAAACCTATTACGAACAGAACAAAACCAAACTTGAAACAAACAACGATTGATAAAGTGCACATTTGCTGAAAAGATAATCTTTTCAAAAGAGAGGAACGTTCTAAAGCAGTAGGCTAATTGGGGCTACCCTGACTCCATGTTTAAGTAATTTCCTCTGTCGAATGTCACACCAAGACCCTTCAGATGAAGGTTTTAGCGCAAAAACACCCGCTTTTGCACTTTGTGTTTTCTAATACTGTTTCTACTTTGGTGTGTACAGTACCGAACCTTGACCAGTTTCGTTCGCAGGCACCGGTGGATGGTGGAACTTAAAGTAGGGGACAAGCAATTGGACGCACACAGCCCTTATTACCTCGTGAATGGTAGCATATGCTTTGCCGAATCGTCCACTTCTTTCGTTGACCACGCACTTGACAGGGTTCTGTATTCAGCGAGATTGGACAGCACTTTTCCAATATCAAGGCCTAACACCCCTGCCACTTATGTGATGTAATTCATAGCATAGCATACATCTTAACTCAAACACCTTCCTTTGCAGTTTGGGTTGAGCACATTGCGGCCGCATGCGCTGTATGACAAATGTAGTTACGTCGCTCACGTAGGATTTCTGCTGCTCTGTATTTTTTCTTTGAAATTAAGTAAAGTCTGGATGGCCATTTTAGACTTGCCTTGTGGCTTCGAAGATCTTATGAACCTCTGACAGAACAGCGGTATCTGACTCCGCCTCGGAAATAGCGCGGCCCACTGGCTCCAACACGCCGAAAGTGCATTGCACATCACGCGAAAATCGTCTTCGTCTAACACCGTTATTTTTATTCCTAAACTCACTTGAAGCTCAGTGGCAATAACGGGTTTTCGTAAAGTTTTTTTTTTGTCCTTTAAATGATCCTCCAGTGACATCAAGATGACCGGCCAGCGAGTTTCAGCTGATAACTTCGGTGTTTGATTTCCAATATAGAACCCGTCTTGCCTCTTTGCAAAGTGGGCCGCGACCACGTGATATTTATTTGCGTACAGTGGCCCAAGTTCTTGATAATATCAAGCGAGCGTCAACCTCCGGTTCGGCCAGCGCCGTGCCGCGGAGGCGTGCGACGATGCGGGAGAGATTAGGCGCGTGCGCACTAGGCTCTTTCCAGTGCGAGCGTCGTCTGCTAGGCAATTCCGATGACCGCACACAGCCCCTGTTCCGTAGCAAAGGAGCGCAGGTAACTAATGAGCATTACTGTTTATCCAACGCCCATGCACTTATTTCTTTCTCTCACTCGCTTTCTGCTTCTCTTATCTGTTGGTAGAACAAAAGTATGAAGAGCGCGCGCTGACGTGATACTTGCCTAGCGTGGCTTAAACAGTGGTGCAATGACGCGCGATTTATTTGTAGTAGACCTGAGCAATATACACCAACTCATGTTTACAAACAAACCGGAGCGCCCGGAGCGCCCCTAGCGGACGCCACCGGCGCCGCGCATGCGCGATGGGGGTGTGGGCAAGAATCTCGCCGTCGCCCATTAACAAACCATTGAAATGCGATGTTGTCGGCGTCGGTGTGAGTCCCCCTGCCCTTTTTCGCGTTCGAATTGTTGGTTCTACGTCTTCCTGGCGATGTCTATACTTCGTTTCAGCTCAGGGGCGGATCGAGACCTCCATTTTAGGCGGGGCGGTTCCTCGGTGTAAAACGGCGGGGGGGGGGGGGGGGGGGGGGGAGTGTTTATATTTTTTTGTAGAGTTATCGTTTTTACTAAACTCGTATAACATAATATAGATCTTGAGAGCTTTTGTATCGGTTTATCTGTCGGGGATGAACTCTTTGAATTAAAACCTTTCGGGTGACCACGCTAGAGGTAAGTATCTCGAAAATTGTGCTGACATGTCAGCACAATTTTCGAGATACTTCATGCTTCAGAAAGCACTATCCTTTCTGAAGCATGGGTTTCAGACCGACACTACGTGAGCAGTCGATTTAGGGCAGCTTAAAGACATTGCCTTGGCAGACATTCTGGTTGGAGCTAGTGTTCAACTGCTGCGGCAACGGGAAGAGCGGCTTAAATCAGCGGAGCGAGTACGTTGCAAACAAGCGACGAAAATGGCCCGGCGGCTTCGACGCTGCTCGCGGCGTCAAAACACTGTTGACGCAGCGAGCGAAACGAACGCTGCCATGCAAGTTCGTCGGTTGTTCGCCGTATATATAAAATGTCCAGAGCGCAGCACATGCGGCATTGCCAACCCAAACTCGTGTTTTCACGTGTTCTGGATGCAACTTGAGAGAACGAAAGCGAATAATTGTTGAATATTTTTGAAAGCATGTTGCAGTTCGGCAACTATATAACTTTTGAACTTACACAAGACCTTAAACCAGCAATGGATCCTTCCAAATTATATTCAATTGCACTTCGTCTGGATATTTTCTGTATCAAAGGAACACTTACTTGTTTCTGGGTAGTTAGCTCATTTGTCAATGTCGAGAGGACAGGTGCAGAGATATGATAGGGCAGAGCGGTTGTAAGGTCGGCGAATCTCAACTGGGGTAAAGGCCGATCACGACCGCAGCATGGATGTTTGGGAGTCGGTGTTCACTCGAACGGGCACAGGCACTGTCTATTTAATTTATGTATAGTCGCATCTTTGAAATGGCTCGTTTTCCCCAAGTCCGTTCGACACACACATATTCGCTCCTGCAAAGCCGCGCGAAAGCTCTGCCGTCAATCCACAAAAGCCGCGTTTAACTGGAAAAGACGGCGCCAAGGGGAGACAAGGGGTAGTGGGCGCCTTTCCTAAAATATGTCCCGCCACCCTAAGTTGAAACGGGATTGTATACAAATAAATGCTTACGGCGCCGGCTCGAGGACCCCGTGTAAGCAGCCTCCAGCCTTTAGAGCGCTCGTACCGTTTATCTTTCTT